AGCCATGCTGGCTGGGGAATTCTGGGAGTTGAAGTCCACTCATCTTAAAGTGGCCAAGTTTGGACAACACTGTGTTAGATTAATCAGTTATAAACTTTTAAACTAGATAAAGGCATGCAACTATTCAGGCAATAAGGGCTAAACTACCTGTTCCACACATCCCCTTAATGCCACCTCCTTAATGCTAATGCCCCCATCTCTTTGTGCTCCCCAAACCAGGGAGGATCCTCTTCCAAGACTGTACCAGAGAGAGAGAGATTGCATGCACAAGGAAGGATGATTGCTTCACACTGATTTACCTAGTTTGGGGGGTTTATCAGTTATAATATAGTTGGTTGACTAAAACTTCTTTAAGAGGGCATCGGACAGAACGTCTTGATTCTTTTCATTTGCTAATCCTTTGAGACCTGCCTTTCAATGAAAAGTGGAAGCGTGCTTTCAAACTTGAAGAACGATCTGCATTTGGAGGAAGAATTGTTTCATCTCAGCCGCCTTGAATGTCTCCTTTGGGGCAGAAAGTGTGGGGTCTCTCCGAAGCACCCCAAAACAAACGACATTAGCGGCAGGAAAGCTGGTGTAGAAATATTCCATATTAACCACAGCTTGGTTTGTTTCTCTCTTCCTCCTCCAGGGAGAAAGAATGGAAAAAACACGGGACTTGTGCTGGTTGCATGGAGACCTTGAATAGCCCAAATAAGTTCTTTGGGGCCGCACTCTTCCTGCGTACCAAATACAATATTGACAGGTGAGTCAAGAAAAATGGGGTTGGGCTGTAGCCGCTGGGAAGTGGCCACAATGGGACCCAGACTTTCATGGAGCCAGCCAAAATTTGAGGCAGAATTTAAAGTGGCTTCTCTGGGGGGAAACTGTACAGAGTTGCTCTGGAAAGAGGGTATGTGTAAATCTGGGTTAAGTAACTCCCTCTGCCATGGATTTAGTGTGTTCCCCCATCTCTACACACGGAGATAATGGTGACTTAAATAGAAATGTGGGTAGTGTTATCTTAAAGGGCCAGATTCACTCATTGTATAAGGCAAAATGTGGTTGGCTTGGTTTCGGCATAGCAAGTTGCACGATTCCAGCTTGTGCTGGTTTGTTCAGGAAATCGTGGTTAAGCACATGGGTTAACATCATATGCAAACCAGCACAGAGAGTCCTCCAGATTCATATTATGCCTTGTTAAGGTAGAGAGTTGAGCTGGTGACAGGGAGAGATCTTGGCCGCCGGGCAAAAGCTGTTTTTCCTCTTCTTCTGAGATGGTTTTTCTACTTCTTGGCCTCCCCGATAGCCCCCATCCAGGTCCTTTTGCAAGATCAGCCAGCGAGGCTGGAGGCGGCTCCCTGCTGGGGCAAGGGTCCCTGTTCAGGGCAAAGACCCGAGTCCTTCTGCCCAGCCCATCTAGGACCCTTGGCACTGAAGGGGCTCACCTCGCCAGGTCCGGCTTCGAACCGAATCTCAAGTGAAGCCAAAACCACTCTGCCCTTCCGCTGACTGGCACTGCTGCCCTTCTCCTTCTTTTTCACTGCAGGGCTTTCGAAAGGGCTGCTATTGTTCCCTCCTGTACGTGGAGTTACCAGGTACCCGCTTTTTCTCACTTGGTTCCCCAAGAATCGGGTGTCTGCAGAGCGTGGCCAAAGAAGTCAGAACGCAGCCGCCACAGTGTGACTGAAGCTCTGCCTGTGTTTTGTGTGTGTTGCACACAATTTCCAAAAATTTTGGAAGGAAGGAAAAAACACCCATTTCTCGCCCTCCTTTCTTCTGTTCTGAACATCGGTCAATCAAATCTTTATTACAGTCAAAACCAGCATAATTCTGAGTATTGCACTGGATTCTAAACGGCTCAGGGTCAACTCCTATCCTAAGTTTCTTTTAAAAGTTTTATTTATTAACCATTTTTAAAGGAAAAGCAAAGAGCAAACACGCCAGCGAAAAGGGGAAAGAAAAAAGGCCCCGGTTTCTCTTCCGACCCTGTAAATCCACTGCCTTCCATTCCCATCCTTCTTGTACACCATGGGATTGCAATGGCTTTTAAAGCACCGCTCGAATTGGAGATTTGAGAGGGCAGGTTCCAGATGCAGCAGGAATAACGAATTCGCTCTTCCTTCTGCTCCTTCAGCCAAACCGGGTCCACCTTTGTAGGCACCAAACAGAGCAGCTGGAGGCTGTGGGGAGTAAATCCAGCCCTCAGCTGCAGATTCAGCCGATTCTCAGGCAGGAGGAGGAGGAGGAGGAGGCAGTCATAATGCCAGGCAGATCTTTCAAACAGCCGTGCTCCTGACTGGGTCCCGTGGGTGGGTTTCTGAGCTGCACGTGGGGCGTCTGGGTCCCCACCCTAGCATTTCCAGGCTGCTGGCCGGCCTCTGTTCCCTGCCCTCTCCTCCCTGCAGCCTTTTCTCCACAGCTTCACACCTTTGCGGACATCCTTCGGCCCCTCCTGGGACCTCAGTACGAGCTGCAGTGTGTGACGGACGGGCAGGTGGGTTTTCCTCCCTCCCCACAAAGCAGTCCTCTTCCACCGGGGAGCCAGTCTGACTTGTTCCTCTTTGGCAGCAGGGGCGGCAAATCCTGGTTCAAATCAAGGTTTCCTTGTTCGGCAACTTCTCCACTGGCTGCTTCCCGGGCACTTCCATGGACATCTCCCCCTACCAGCCTTGCAAGGCTCAGAGGAGGATTTTTTACGTCCCGCCCAACCTGAAGAATCCACGCAACCCCTGCCCGTGATCCAAGGCCGGCCGAGAAATCGGTCAGAGGAGAGTGTTAGCAAGGAACCGGAAGACGCCCATCATCTGGGGCCGTGGAATTTCCAGCCACCGATTTGCAGGAACAGTCACTGGCCGGCCAACAATCAATGTCTACTCCCACCACCAAAGTTTGGAGGACCCCAACAGCTTGAGCCATCTCTGTGACCAGCTATGTAAATCTCATTACTAAATCCATTGCCCACGAGTGGCCTACTATGATAAGTGGTTCCCAACAGTTCTTTAAAGTGCGAGGTACGTCCAGGTTGACGTAAGTCCTTCTGAATTCAGTGGTAATATACCCCCCAGCATGAAGTGCCTTGAAATGATTTTAATTTTGCCCAGGACGGGGTTGCCTCCCTACCTTGCAAAAATAGAAGAGATTATTGATAAACATCCTTCCACAAAGGGCCAGACATTCGGGACAAGCCAACATTGGCCAGACTTCAAACGGATGGAGTTACCCAAACGAAACAGGCCACGATCGTGTGACTAAAAGAATTGCTAAAAAGCATAGCTTTACGATACAATCCTGCAAATATGAATACTCTTGCGACGAGAGAGCAGCAGCGTGATGCAGCTGTCCACAGGGGAGAACTTCCAATCTCCTTTTTCTGATTCTTCCTTTGATTCTTTATACTGCTGTATTTAAAAATTCGAATTAGGAGAAAAGGGGAAAACTTCCAGTCTCTTCTTGGTCCTGACGTCGGGTGGGTCAACCCCTGAGGAATACGGCAAAGGAAGAGTGGCTCCTCAGAGTAAAATTAGAATAAATACATGTAATAAACACTTTAATAAATATCAGGTGCTTTTTTCTGGGGAGGGAAAACGTGGTTCTTTCTTCAGCGCGTCCCAATCACCATTTCCTCAGCAGTTTCTTCTTATATTGACTTTTTTTCTTTTTAAAAAAATCTACCCTCTTTTCAGGGTGGCTTGCAAACAGACTTACGATCCGACATTAACGATGTACACGCTGGCTGGGCTCATAGAAGTAGCTACCTCAAGAATGGGAATAATCTGGATTATAATCCGGACCTGGCTTCGAGGGATGGGCGCGTTCACACAACCCCCTCCTCCGGAGAGCTGCTGAAGCAGTTGTAACCTAGGGGAGCCTGATGTGAAACCCCCAAGGCTCTGTGCAATTACCTGGTGGCGTGTCTGTGGCAATTGCACAAGACTCTGTGCGCCTCTCTCCTGGGGGACTGCTGTCCTTAATTAACGCTGCCACTTTTCATGCAGCTTCAGGACGGGCAATTAGCAAAGGCCAGCCACCCCAACCCCTGTTGCACATCTGTTCAACGCAGGGTTTCTCAACCTCGGCCCCCCCCACAAAGTCCTGCCCCTCTTTCCATCATCCCCTACCTTGGAACCCCCCCCAGCATAGAGGCTAAATTAGGGGGGGGGTGGGGAAGGGTTGTCG